GTCGAAGTCGAACGGCCGGTCCTCGCATTGAAGCTTGGTCAAGTGAACTGTGATCTTCGAACAGCCCTTCATGAAACGTTGGTAGTAGTCGGCTAGGTCGAGAAACGACCGGGCATCCGTGGCATTCTTCGGTTCCGGTCACTCTTGGACGGCTTGAATTTTGTCAAATAGCGGACTAATGCCCTCCGGTGTGACAAAATGGTCAAATACTCCAACTTTTGACAGACGGACTCGCACTTATCGCGGATGGCTTTGTACTTGGCATGGCGGAGCGTCTCCAACAATCGTCAAAGATATAGACAAGAATGTCGTCCAAGTAGACCAGCACAAACCGGTCCAACATCGCGCGAAACTCGTTGGTCATCGCCGCTTGAAAAGTCGTCGGGGCACTGGTGAGGCTGAAAGGCATGACAACCCACTCAAAATTTCATTACTGCGTCTTAAACACGGAATTGTAGTGATCTTGTGGGCGTATCGAGATTCGATGATAGCCCGACTTCAAGTTGAATTTGGAAAAGTATGTTGTGCCGCCAGTCACTCAAGAGGATCGTTGATACGAGGAAGAGGCCTTACATTCTTGACGGTTTGCGTGTTGTGCTCGCGATAGTCAATGCACAAGTGAAGGTCCTTTTTCTTCTTCCGTACGAAGAGAACTGGCGCACGGTATAGTGAGCTACTAGGGCGGATCCAACCCTTTTCCAACAAGTCGTCGAGTTGCGCGCGGAGAACCGGGAGCTCTTCCTCGCTCATGCGATAGATGCACCCCTTCGGCGCCACGACACCGACCTCAAGGATGATCTCATGGGAGATCGGCCGATCTGGCACCATACCGGTAGGAGACTCGAAGACGTTGGCGAACTCGTTAAGCAACTGCACCATGCAGGGGTCCGAAGACAAGTCCGTAGGTGAAGATTCAGTCCCCGAGACGGTCCGAAGAAAGCAAAGGTCGATCTCATCGGTCCGCTTGTAAGCACAAGTGGCCCAAAAAGACTTGGCCGTCACAATTTGGCACCGGATCGAAGGGTGCAGAGGAGGAATGGAGCACGGGACTTCGGTGTCAAACGTGTCGCGAACGGTAAGTGTTCGCCAATGGAAGTTTACAGTGATCCGCGCTTGCGAGCCAAGGCATCCCCAAAATGATGTCGAAGTCTGTGTCCAATACGTCAAATGTGACTGGCTTGCATGCATGTGGTGCGAAATAAACCAGCACGGCCTTGAAACAACGATCAAGAAGTTGTTGTGTCCGACTGTCCGCCATCTTGACCGCAATAGGATGTGGCTTCCTTCAAACTCGTGCGCCAAGGTCGGCCCTTTGTATAAAGGATTGACTCATGAAATTGCAAGTCGCGCCGCTATCCACCAGAGCGCTGCAGGACACTTGCCCAACTTGGATGCCGACATAAAGGAGCGGTGTGTTGTTGTCATCGTTCCGCTGCGTGCAAAACTCGCAGGCACCTTGGAGATGTAAGCAAGGAGGTCCCCCAACACGACTTTGTCATACGTCAACAAAGTTGGTGGTGCATAGAAGAACAAATACGTGTGCAAATGGGCACATAGTGCTGCGCACTGCGGTTCCGGTAAGCAACTCCTGAAAGGGAGAGGAAAACATGCAAAGTCCTCGGGCGACATCGGGTCTAAGACCTCCACATTGAACTCACGTGCCGAATCCATTGAAGAACCACTTGAAGATGATGAAATGGCGCGACTATTGGACGGAGAGGAAACCGCACACACACCCTGTCCTTGAGCTAGATAACCCTGTAGTGGAACGAGCCGGTCAGCAAAGTCCTTGAAAGAATGAAGAAGAGGACTCACAACTTCTGCATATGCCTCTGAACTAAGGGAGGTTGATCGTGAAGCAACCGGTTTCGAAGGCGTCTAGAGTGCAGCCATATCACTCTCGACAGTGCTCACTTTCCCGACCGGGACTTCCCCTTGGCATTCGTGGGGCAGTTCGCTGTGTCGTGTGCGTCGTTGTTGCACCACAAACAATATCGGTATTTGGAGCAGAACTTGTAGACGCCCTTCAAGATACCATAATGGAGCCAAGCTTCTTGAGCTGGTGTTCTGGTCCCGGAGAATGAAGAGGTGTTTGTCTTCGCTCGACCCTTGGTCGGGACCATCCCCGACAGACATATCTCCCACGTCTAATGAAGCAGCCTCGTGGGAATTGATCAGCATTGTTGCTGCGACCACGACCACTTTCGGTCGACGCTGATCTCTGCTCTAGCCTGCGGAAGACGAACTGCCAGCATTGCGAACTTCGGTGTTTGTCATAATGATCTGCGAGGCCTTGTTACAAAGTAACTCACTTGTGGTGAGCATCCCTACGACCGGTGTCAACGCATTCTGAAATGTCGAACACGACCTCGTAATGGAGTAGTGCTTGATTACGGTTAAGTTGAGTGGTAGCTCGGGCGTGGATGCCAAGCGTTGGAACTCAGTGATCCAATCCGTGCTCGGCAAGGAGTTATGGCAGAACTTCTGCAGCTTCTCCATTGCCTGGAGCTCGGGCAGTTCTAATCGACACCGCGTGTGCCATGCTGCCGTGAGATCTTGCCAGCTGATCTTCGTGTGCAGCTCGGAGATGATAACCTTGTGAGTGGACAGGAGGTTGTCGAGCCATGCTTGACACGCGCTGCCCGACCGGCGATAAAGACAACCATGGCGGTTGGGGCCGTGCACCTTCTACATGTCCAGCCACAAGGTGAACTGCCGCCACCAAGGGAGAGGCTCGGTCTTCGAAGAGTCGTGGAAGACCGGGATGTCGTCCAGCTTGGGTGGGCGGTCGGAGGGTGATGAGGCTGAACTTAGCGCTGCTGCACGAATCTGCTGCTCCAGCTGCTGGTTGGTTGCGTGCTGCTGCCCCACTGTGTCCTTCACGACCCCTATGTCCGCCTCCAATACGTTTACACGATCCGCCAAGTTGGGGTCCGGCGGGAGTGGTTCCTGCAGGCTGTTGTTCCAGCCTATGCACGCGGTCGAGCAGGTCGGCAATGATTCTGGCCTGCTTCTTGGCCAGTGTGGCCTGCTGCCTGAGCAGTGTGTCTAAGCAAAGGATGTCCTCCTGCTGAGCTGTGCATGTGGCAACCAGATCAGTCACACGTGTGAATGTGGCTGCAATGTCACGCACAGCGTCGGTGGCATCCTCGCCTTCGGCAGCCACCTCCCATTCGCCGGCTGTCACCTGGATATCGCCCTCCCATTCAAAGAGTGTGTCTCGGTGTGTCTGGCGTTGCTGGTCTGCAGCCTTCCTTGCTGCCTCAGCGTCCTCCAATCACTGTCTCTCAGCAAGGCGACGCTGTTCTTCTGCTTCCTCCTCATCTTTTTTCCTCTCGGCGGTGGCTGCATCTGCTTGCTTCTTCCATTCCGCTAATTGGTCCAAAACGCGGGCCTCATAGGCTGCCTCAGTTTACCCTTGCTTTCGCTCCATGTCCCCCGTCGTTGATCGGGTGACTGCCGGCATATGCTGGCAGAGGCTGATGTGGCACTAGCTGCTGCTGATGTGGCTCTGATCAGCTGCTGACGTGACATGGGTGTCTGCTGACGTGTCACTGCTGGCGGGGCCTGCTGACGGGGCCTGCTGACGGGGCCTGCTGATGTGGCAACTCACCAATGCCACAGCAGAAGAGACGAAGAAGATAGATGGGGGAAGGGGGGAGAAGATGATACAGCAGCGTAGATGGGGTAGGTGGGAGGGAGGTAACGGCACACCATCAATTGGAAAGATAACGTGCCAATAAATGGGGTCAAATTGATCGCCCAGATAAGGAGCCAATAATAAAAAATTTGAGAAGATCGAAGTTCATCAAACTTTGCTTTTAGTTTTTTTTTTTTTTAATAATAAGAAATCATTTTAAAATCACAAGTTCGGTAGGTCTCCCAACCCCCAAAAATCCCGAAGTTGAAATAGTAATAAAAAATATATATATTTCAAACTTCAGACTGCAGTTATAACAGAGAAAGGAATAGTCAAATAGCCAAACTGCAAAAGATTTCGGAAGTTCGGGGTGATTCCGAACTTCAACAAAATAAAAATTCAAAATATTTCAGATGAGAGTAAGTGCAGCAATTTCCAATTTTGAGAAGTATATTCCGCAAAACACGAACTGCGAAGTGCGAGGCCAAGGCCCCGATGAGCCCCTTATTGGCTCTGCCAGGCAGCACGTGGGCCGCCCTAAGTGAAGGCAGGCTCGACGAGGGCCTGAGGGCCCCTATTTCGGCCACCACGCAACTGGAGAAATTCAGGCAGTTGCGCAGCGCCAGTTGGTTGAGAGCACCCAGGCCCAGGCCGCCTGTTTGCATGAATAGAAGACAGGCCCTGGGCTGGATACAGGATAAGGGCCAAGCACAGGCCGAGGGCAGTTAGGCACAAGTAACCACCACATGCCCCGGGCCTGATTTGTTTGGACTGGGACCCAGCCTACCGGATCCTACCGGAAGCTTCTTGGGAAAGGCCCAGCGCAGCAGCAGGCAGGCCACTTCCATATAGCAAAGGGTCTGCCTCCGCATTGGACATTCGGGCACTGGCTGCTTTGTGCGCAAGCGCTGCTGCGCTATTGCCTGCCAGGCTCACACGCTCATGGGCGAGCTGGAAGGAGCAGGCAGCCGTAGCCGAGCTGCGCTGCTGTATGCTGGATGGGCGCATGGTGGTCCTCGCATGCTAGTGGCATCTGTGTGTTGGGGATCGAGGTTGTGAGTGATTCCGAGAGACATACCTGGTGTTTGAGGCGACGGCATTGTCCGAGATCTGCTCGTACTTCAGGGAGCTGTTCACGTCATCCGTGGCATTGTAGATAGTAGGCTAGATAGGATCTGCCATCTGTAGTCTGGGCGCCGAGCGCCGGATAGGATATCGACATTGGTTCATTGTTGATAATGATGGGACTATTCACACATTGTCACTTGTGAGCTTTTGCTGTGCTCTTATTTGGTGGAACTCGTGATGCAATTCTGCTTTTGGTTCGAGGTCACGACTATCTGGTCTTATGTCTATGATGCTGTTTGGGTTTCTGGAATTCGCTATTGCTCATCTTCCTTGCAATTTGGTATCGGAGCTGTGGTACGGTGCGCTAATCTGGCGCTTGTCTTCTGCCTAATGCGGTACATGCACGTGGTGTGTGCGGTGAGCGACCGTGCCGTGGGACGTGTGTAGTGAGGAGGGCGAAGATAGGCGGGCGACCCAGGTGGAGAGGGGTTCGCCAGGAAGGCTAAGTGGTGATTATTGGGTGTTTCGCAGTGTGATGAGAACTATCCGATGTGTGATTGATGCTGAGGTGGAACGGTGGAATAATGCTGGTTGTGTCGAAGCGGCAACTGGTCATCACAGTCATCATCGGTTCATCTGGTGAGATTATCTGTGGTTGGGGGCAGCTATTTTGAGGTACGTTGCACCTAACCTTATCTACCCTCTTCAACACTTCTTACCGTGAGGATGTGTGTTCTGTCTTGAGAGTCCTCTCATTGTGAGGAGTCGTGTGCGCTAGTCGTCAGTCTTCACGTGGAGCATCTGGAAGGAGAGGGCGGTGCTATCTGAAGGGCCCTGGACGAAGCACTGGGTCACGGTCACCATGCCAACCCACCGGGAGTAGAGCACACATGCTTTGCTGCTTTATCTTTGTCGGCTCGCTGCGCTGTTAGATGAGTTCTGAGGGGCAGGCCAGCCCTATGCAACAACGAGTACCGAACGTCTATAAATAAGTACCGGCAGGGACCTTCCACTGGCTGTGATCTTCATCTTGTTTGCGACGTTAAATAATTCCTGAGGACTTCGGGGGCCGTCCATATAAACGCCTCTTGATCAGCCAGGGTCGGTGTAAGGCTCGTTGCACGAGGATAAACATTGTGCAGGGCTGGCCAGCTCAGCAGGACTCGGGTCACAGGGGTGGGCCGTGTGCACACCTTTAGACACACACACTATCTGGATTGCTCAGGGACACTGACGCTACGTGACACTTAGGAAGAATTGAGGGAGGGGTAGATTCCAGGTGATAAGTTCGGGTACAATTCCACTCTGCAAACAAACCTAGCAAATGATTCTATTTTTATTTTGATTAGTTAGATGGACGACCATCGACATCTGACAGACAACATAGTTAGAACTGTTTTCTGTTCATTGTGCTTCTGTTTGCGAACTAGTCAAAACAGGAATAGTTTCGTTTTTAGGAATCTGACTTACCTGTTGGACCCAAATGTATCCACTCTGACATAGCCACCAAGTCAAATTGATTTGTGCACTATGTTGTGGTAGGCATCCAGAGTGCGCTAGTGCAGATTGTGTACAGTGTTGTAGCTTATGAGCGATGAGGAGGTTACACAACCGGACGACCGGATCTTGCGATCAGCTAGACGCCCGATAGCCCACGTGGGTGATAGGGTTCTGTTCCGCCAGCTTAGGGAGAGGCAGCAGCAGCAGAGGAGAGCTAGGGCAGCGGAGACCAGCAAGGCGTTCGCAAGCGAAGCCGCTGTTTCAGCAGCCATGGCAACTTCTGCGCAGCAGAGTTCCCAGGCCAGCAGTTCAGGAGCTGTAGGGTCAACGGTCGCGCAGACCCAGAGTCAGTCCACTGGCGTCATGGCAAGCCAGCCAATAGTGTTGACCCCCGAGGAGGTCGCCATACAGCGAGCAGCCCTTCGCGAGGCACAGCTACAGCAGGCATTAGGAGAGATCAAAGCGGAGAAAGAGAAAATAATTAGGCGAAGAGCCAGGATGCAGCGGAGAGAAGTGGACGTTAGTGAGTTAGAGCAGATGAACATGACAAATATGCATGATGACGTCAGAACACTAAGGTCAGTCCTGCTACATGTAGTGGTGATGCTGGACCACCAGACAACGCTCTTACAGGACATCCAGCAGAGCCTAGCCGTGCTGTTAGGGCGAGTTCATGCGACACCATCACCGTCCGGGCCTGGTGCCTGGCCCGTTGTACATCCTCCTCCTTATGTCCCACCGGTGACTGGGGTATCCCCATATGTTGCTCCAGCATCAGTTCCGACCGCTTCCCCTGGTATGCCGCTAACAGGAGGGTTCTCAGCAGGTCCTAGTTTGCAGGTTCCTGTACATACAGTGTTCACCCAACCTCCGTCGCAGCCTGCCGTCACTGGGCAGCTTGCTGTCTCGCAGCCTGCACAGTCGCAGGGCACACGGCCCCAACAAACGGTAGTGCAGCAGCCTGCTCGCCAAGGTCCACATCCTGGAGTGGGACAGGTGCCGGGACAAACTCAGTGGCTTCCAAAGACGGCCATCGCCGCTCCCAAGCCCTTCACAGGGGATAAGAGGGGCGAAGACCTCGACACTTGGTTGAGGGCAGTGCCGGTCTATGTGAAGTGTACACTTACCGTGCCGCACGAGGAAGTGTTTGTGGCTGCCTCCTATCTAGAGGGGAGTGCAGCAAGATGGGTTAAGTGGTTTAGTGCAGCTCCAGGGGTACGGACATGACTTTCGCGCTTGGGCGGTCAGCCAGAAATTGGATGACTTCCTCAAGTTGGTGGAAGACAGGTGACATGATCCGCAGGAGGCTCAAAAGGGTACTGACGCGATCCTGACACTGCACACGAGGCAATTCAAGTCAGTAAGAGAAGCCACAGACGCAGTTGAGCGTCTGATCTGTGTCCCTGGGGTGCGCTATGACCCCCTGGTTCTACTCACCTCGTACCTGAGATGTTTTCCCATGCCTCTCAGGAATCAATTGGGCAGGTGAGGCCAACATCAATATGCACAACTTTCCCTCGTTTAGCAAGAAGGCCCTAGACCTAGAGGCGAAGATAGGGCATGGACATGACCCACTACGGATGGTAGGAAGAAGACACTGCCTCCCAACTGGAAGGCGAAGGGACGCATTCTGTTCGTCGACAACGATGGGTCTACCATTGAGTTGGAAGACGACTTTCAGGTGGGAGTAGGTTCAAAGGTAGGCAGCGTAGAAACTTCAAAGGGTGGAGTAGTCACTGCCGTAACTCAAAAAGGTAAGGGGACCGGTCTAGGAGTCAAGTTGACCCCAATGCTCTTCCTTGGGAGAAAGCGGGTCTCACAGAGTAACAGAGGACGTGTGGAGAGACCGGTATACCAGGCAGGCCTGTATTCGTTGTGGTCAATATGGCCATACCCAATACAAGTGCCACAACAAGAAGGTGACCGAGAAGATCCCGCCTACTATGGGGCAGGCGGTAGGATCGCCCACTCCCGTTGGTAGCAATGTAGCCAGCAGTTCTAGCAGGGCTCCGAGAAACACGTCGGGTCAGTACAAATGGTAGTTGTTCCTGCTAGGGTCGAGGTGGTGGATACACCCTCACCATCTCGAGAGATGGCCCAAGCTACTGACTCTGTCGTCGTCCCGCAAACACATTCGGACCCATCGAGCCTCTGTTCGATGAATGTGTTTGAGTCCTTAGAGGAGCTAGAGGAGGAGTGGTCTAGATCGGACCCGCTAGCTTCTTAGACGGCATTGGCAAAAGCCCCTAAGGGTGAGATGTTCGTCAGCGAGGTAGTCATCGACAGCCGCAAGGCAGGGGCCTATTATGACACTTGCTCGACTAGGAACTTCATCAGTCGCGCGTGCGTTGAGAGGCTGCGCTTACAGGGGCACGTGCAGTGCCTGAGTCGACATGTGGAGTCGACCTGTGCCAACAAACAGCGCATGGTAGTTAATGACTACCTTCAGAATGTCGAGTGTTGTTTCCCGTACGCGGGAGGGGAATTGAGACATCATGTTTAGTTCCTAGTGAGCGATGATCTCCCTATGGATATCCTGTTAGGTATGTACTATCTCTCCGTGGCACAGCCCCAGTTTGACTCGGACCGAAAAGTGGTCAAGCACACTTTGCCAGGTGGGGGGCCCGCCAGATTACGTAAGTTTAAGGCTAGTAGTCTGATCGAGTCCTACGGATGCATGTGTGAGGCCACGTTTTATAATTATTATAAGCAAAATCCGGAGGAGGGTATGTATCTAGTTTATGTCTCTGCAGCAGGCGAGCCGATGAAAATGTCGCCGGAGATAGAGGGAGTGGTTGCTAAGTACCCTGATCTGTTTGAGGAGCCTACACGGGTTGTTGAGAGGGAGGTCGTCCACGCGATAGAGATTATCCCAGAGTCGCCCATCCCGAAGGGTAGGATCTATCGGATGTCTCCAGGCGAGCTTGACGAGCTTCGCCGCCAACTCAAGGAACTCGTAGAGAAGGGGTGGATCCGGCCGAGTGTCTCTCCTTATGGTTTGCCAGTCCTATTCGTACCAAAGAAGGGGGGCACTTTGAGGATGTGCATTGACTATAGGGGCCTCAATGCCATCACTGTCAAAAACCGAGATCCCCTACCGCGCATCGACGACTTGTTAGATCGAGTGCACGGGTGCCGGTACTTCAGTAAGATAAATCTGAAGTCCGGGTACCATCAGATTGCAATCCGGCCTGAGGATCAACCAAAAACCGCATTTCAGACCAGGTACGGTCTGTACGAGTTTGTGGTGATGCCTTTCGGCCTTTGCAATATTCCTGGCACATTTCAGCACGCGATGAATCGGATCTTTCATGACTACTTGGACAAGTTTGTCATCGTGTACCTCGATGACATACTTATCTTTAGGACTGTCGAGGAGCATGTTGCGCACTTAGATAAAGTCCTTAGTCTCCTTCGACAGCACAAGTTCAAGATCAACGGGGAGAAATGTGAGTTTGGCCGCACCCGTATTTTGTATTTGGGTCATGAGATTTCCGCGGAGGGGTTGAAGCCCGATGACGCGAAGGTGGCCAGCATTCGTGATTGGCCACGTCCTCAGTATGTGACTGAGATGACATCTTTCTTACGGATGGCAAGCTACTACCGCACTTTCGTTAAGAATTATAGCATAGTGGCCGCCCCTTTGACCGATTTGACGCGCCTTGACACCCCATGGGAGTGGACAGACGAGTGCGAGGCTGCTTTCAGACATTTGAAGCATGCGTTGACGCACTACGAGGTCTTGAAGCTACCTGATCTTGACAAGCCATTCGTAGTAACCACGGATGCCAGCCAATATGGCATTGGCGCCGTGCTTGCGCAGCAGGAGGGGCCAAAGTTGAGGCCAGTCGAGTACATGTCTAAGAAGATGTCGTCTCAGAAGTTGGCCAAGTCCATGTATGAGAAGGAACTCTATTTGGTTTACAAGGCTCTGACCCATTGGAGGCACTATCTCCTTGGGAGGTTCTTCATCCCCAGGACTGATCATCAGACTCTGAGATGGATGAGAACTCAGTCGGTGCTCTCTGACGCTCTGAAGTGTTGGATCGAAGTCATTGAGCAGTATGACTTTGACCCGCAGTACATGAAAGGGGAGTACAACAAGGTTGCTGATGCCTTATCGCGTAGACCTGATTTATCAGGTGCGCTGATTACTGAGTTCGATCTTGCGGACGATGTAACTCACAGTTCATGTCTGAGATCATACATAGACTTGAGGCGAAGGACAAGAGAACTTCAACCGAGTTTGAGTTGGTCAGCGGCTTGCTATTTCTCTAGAAGGCAAGGAATGAGCGTTTGTGTGTTCCTAATAGGGAGTCTTTGCGTAGTTTGTTTTTAGGCGAGTGTCATGATGCCACCGACCATTTTGGCTATAAAAAGACAGCAGCCAATCTGCTGCAACGGTTCTGGTGGCCCACGATGATGCGAGATGCTCAGCTATACGTGGAGACTTGTCAGGTCTGTCAGAGGGACAAGCCACGTACTCAGGCACCTCTTGGGCTCCTGAAGCCCCTTCCGATTCCGGAAAGGCCTGGTGAGAGCTTGTCCATGGACTTCATGGATACGCTGGTCACCAGAAAGAGCGGCATGAGACACATCTTCGTTATCGCGGATAGATTTAGTAAGTACGCTAGGTTAGTTGCCATGCCCGAGACAGCAAAGACCGAGTACGTGATCAGATTGTTCAAAGAGAACTTGGTCAGGGTTTTTGGTCCGCCTAAGTCCATCGTGAGTGACAAGGATGTCCGATTCACCAGTGAGTTGTGGAAGGCCGCTGCTGCGGAACAGGCAACACAGTTGCAAATGACTTCTGGGAACCACCCAGAGGCCAATGGACAAGCTGAGCAACTGAACCACGCTGTACAACACCTGCTGTGGCATTACATCAAGCCCAACCAGGTGGACTGGGATGAGAAACTTGCTCTCATCGCCAGCCTGTACAACAACGTTGTGCACAGCGCCACCGGAGTGAGCCCAAACAGCTTACTATTGACCTTTAAGCCTAGACTGCCCTTAGATTTTGTCCTTCCTGAGAACCAGCCAACTGCTGCACCACGTACGTTAGAATTTGCTTATCGGTAAGAACAGAAGATGCAGCAGGCAGTAGAACAGATGCAGAAGGCACAGGCGGCAATGATAGAATTTGAGAATAGACACCGTCGCCCTTCAACATTTCAGGTTGGGGACAGAGTCTGGGTTAAGTCCTCAGAACTGGGACAGGAGTATGGGATTTCCCGCAGACTCATGCCTCAGTACTTTGGACCATGGGAGGTCTTAGACATCGCCGGGACTGATCCAAATGGGCCGTCTTATGTAATCCGGATCCCTGGTCATCTCCGCACTTACCCTGTCTTTCACGCCTCCAAGCTTGCACCTTTCAAGGAAACAGACCAATTTCCTTCTCGTTGCTCAATGTCGCCCCCAACCATGGATGGAGAAGTGGATGTCGATGATATTGTCGATCACACGGAGCTGCCAGTTCCAAGACCAACAGGCAGGGGACGTCCTCTGAAACCGAAGCTGCAATACCGTGTTCGGTTCCGACATCATATTAATCCAAAGGAGGACCGCTGGTTCACCCGGAAGGAACTCATGCAGACTGCTCCTCATATCGTAGCCCAATACAAGAAGTCTCTGCGGAAAGGAAAGCGCCAGATTATCGAATACTGAACTTCTCAGAGGACTATCGAAGTTATGGAGGAGGGAATGCGAGGCCAAGGCCCCGATGAGCCCCTTCTTGGCTCTGACAGGCAGCACGTCGGCCGCCCTAAGTGAAGGTAGGCTCGACGAGGGCCTGAGGGTCCCTATTTCGGCCACCACGCAACTGGGGAAAATTCAGGCAATTGCGCAGCGCCAGTTGGTTGAGGGCACCCAGGCCCAGGCCACCTGTTTGCATGAATGGAAGACAGGCCCTGGGCTGGATACACGATAAGGGCCAAACAAAAGCCGAGGGCAGCTGGGCACAAGTAACCACCACAGGCCCCGGGCCTGATTCGTTTGGACTGGGACCCAGCCTACCGGGGCCTACTGGAAGCTTCTTGGGAAAGGCCCAGCGCAGCAGCAGGCAGGCCACTTCCATATAGCAAAGGGCTTGCCTCCACATTGGACATTCGGGCACTGGCTGCTTTGTGCGCAAGTGCTGCTGCACTATTGCCTGCCAGGCTCACGCGCTCACGGGCAAGCTGGAAGGAGCAGGCAGCCATAGCCGAGCTGCGCTGCTGGATGTTGGATGGGCGCATGGTGGTCCTTGGGTGCTAGTGGCATCTGTGTGTTGGGGATCGAGGTTGTGAGTGATTGCAAGAGACATACCTGGTGCTTAAGGCGACGACATTGTCCGAGATCTGCTAGTACTTCAGGGAGCTGTTGACGTCATCCGTGGCATTGTAGATAGTAGGCTAGATAGGATCTGCCATCTGTAGTCTGGGCGCCGAGCGCCAGATAGGATATCGACATTGGTTCATTGTTGATGATGATGGGA